GAAATACTCCTACCATGACTGATTTCAGACTACCAAAGGTTTAGCAATCAGCTTGCAAAATTCCTGAATATTTAACAATCAGCTCATGAAAATTGATGCCAGTTGGCTGGAGAACACCAGTGATCTCAGTGTCCCCGTGATATACGTGGTTGAAGACACTCCCCCAGTATGTAAATGTAAACAGGGGACTCTTGAAATCCAACGGCAGAATTTCCAGCTCAGCGGGGTAGAGGAGGAGAGACCCCGGAAAGTAGCAAGCTCTGCCCTCGCCTCCTTCAAATCCCACCAGAGAGCAGACTTCCTGGGTCTTTTCTGCCCTCCCTTCTCTGGTCTGCAAAGCGTGGGGACTTGAGTTGCCAAGGGCGGCACTCGTGCACCAACCAGCCCACATCCCTGTCACGCACGCCGTCTCTGCCCCGGCTCCTGCTGCCTCCCACAGCGGCACGCACCTCGGTTATGGGGTTGGACGCCAGGACCTTGTCCTCCACATGTGCGGTGCTGCTGGACTTGCTGACGGTGGCGAAGTACCTCATGGCATAGCGAGCTGACACCGTCTTTCCGGCACCCGACTCCCCGCTTACGATGATGGACTGATTTCTGTTGTTTCTAAAGCAAGTAAATGAAAGTATTTTTAAATGTTAATTTCTTCCCATTAAAAAGGCAACATATGCTCATTAAGAAAAATGCAGAAGAGATGGAAGAAGAGAAACCTTGTTTTATCACTCTAAAGCAACTGTTTTTAACATTTCGGTGAATGTCCCTCCAGACTTTTTTCTTCTATGTGGTCATGCAGAACACCCGTGTCTGTTTCCTGCAATGTCCCCTGTGTTGAGGGTTCCCAAGACCAAGCCCAGGATCAATGACCTGCTAGGAGGACTTGCAGGACGCAGCATATGGTGACACGGCTAAGATTTATTACGCCAAAAGGACACAGAGCAGAATCGGCAAAGGGAAGAGGCGTGTGGGGCAAAGTCCAGGGGAAACCAGGCGTAAACTCCGAGGGTCCTCTCCCAGTCGAGTCACACAGGACACGCTGACTTCCTCTAGCAATGAGTTCGATGGCACGTGTGAAACGCTGACTCCCGGGCAGCCCCTCACAGACTCGGCGCTCGCCCTCTGCCTCGCACACACCACGCTTCCAGACTCCAGCAGGAAAGCAGGTATCAGCACCAACCACATCGTTTATACAGTCTCCATTTGGGTACGATGAGCCACTTTATCAATTAGGGTGGTGGGAACCTTCCCGAAATCAGAGGCGAGACACAGGCCTGCCTTGCAAGCAGGCCTCTAAAGATAGCAGCCTCGGGCCTCACGTCAACTCCTTTCTGCACGTCCCACTTAGATATAAAAACATTTCAAAAGAATTATTTTGAGAGCAATTATTCAAAAGATGCTTGGGAGCATATGTGCTCTGTAAGCCAACAGGCTCTGTTACATAATTCAGAGATTTTTTAAAAAAAATGCATTGAACTTTTCCTGTCATAAGACTGTGGTGGTGGAAACTTATAAAGCCGCTCTGTGCATCTAGCGGTGCTCACCTGCCTGGTGCTGGGCGAACACTGTACACAGATTCTCATTTAAGCTTCACAAAAATCCTAAGACACAGATCTCTATTTTACAGATGAGTACAACGGTGACTCAGAGACGCAGAGTGACTTGATCAGAGCTTCCCATGTGAATGCTGGCGTAGACTTTAGACATAGCTCCCCTGGCCCGATCCTTTCATTTCAGAGAGAGGAAACGAAGACTCTGAGAAGTGAACGACACAGTCGGTGTCCCCAGGTGTGCAGAACGGGGCTGGGGTTATTAAAGCCAGGCCCTCCTGACTTCCAGTCTAGCATCGAGCAAGGCCAACATGAACCTGCCATTCTGGTATCACAGCTACACACACCGACCTCCAAGGAGAGACCGGCTCTTCAGGGCCGAACTTGGCACAGCCCTATAGTTCCAAGGACCTTGTACTGCTGACACCTAGACTCTAATCACCAAGACTCCTGGGAGACCTATAGGGAGCCAGGGGTGTTTTGGGGCTGGAAGGAATCTCGGTGCAGCAGAAACTGCTATTCTCTGTCCAACATTCCTCCTCCCCTTCCTTCTCAGGGACAATGTGCCAGCTGTTAGCGGGCACGTTGCTGCCCATATGAAAGACGTTTCCCAGCCTCCCTCGCGCCCAAGCGTGGCCATGTGAGCAGGTCCTGGCCAATGAGCTGTGAGCAGAAGTGCTTTGTGGGGCTTCTGGGAAGTGTCCTTGTCACCTAGAATATGGAAGAGATGGCTGAGCCATAGGCTGGCCCTGAGGAGAAGGGTCCCAGCCCAGGGACGGGGGTGCTGGATGGCACTGGGTCTCCGATGACCTGGGGGAGGTTCGATCGAGCCCCATCAGACCCCTCTGCAGAAAAACACACACTTCCACCCCATGTAAGCTACCACCGTCCCCTGGATTAGAAATAAGCGGCAGAACCAGGAACAGTCCTCGCTGAGCACTGAGCTCACGGGTGAGGACAGAGCCGCGGGAGCGCGGGTGCCGTGCCCGGGGCCGTGCAGTGAAGACGCAGCAGGCCGGGGTCCTGTGCCTCAGGTCTCCCAGCTGTGAGACGAGGGCGATATGGCGGCTCGACAGACTTCGCGGGAGTATTATAAGACCCAAGGGAGAACACTGTCTGTGAAAGCTCTTTTGCAAACTGCTAAGGGGGCTACAAAGATAAGATGGCGTTTTTATTCGTTGTACTTTACAGATGAGGACATTGAAGCCAAAAGAGGATAGTTATGGGAAAATAAATTATATTTAGAGTTAAAAAAAATCTGAGCACAAACCCCAGCTCTGCCTTTTGCTGCCTGACCTTGGGTCGGTCTCTGAAGCTCGGTTCACTGCCCAGGCATCTACATCATGGGCTACTCTGAGGGCGCCCGAGGTGACGTAGGAGTGTGTGCGTGGTGCCTGGTCGCAGGAGGCTTTTCACACACGTTCGCTAGCAAGACAAGAACCCCACAAAGGCCACACAGAAACCAAGTGGCAAAATGAGGATGAAACTCCAAATCTCCTACAGCTAAAACCTGGGCTACTCTGTCATCAGACGCTGCTTCTTACATAGGTGAAAAACAAAAACACTTAAACATCTCACAGCAGAGAATAAATCAATACTCCTCCAACCAAACACACTGCAGGAGAAACATCTGGTATTGCCAGACTGACTTCTGACTGCCTAGAAGGAACAAAAGCCAGGAAACCTGGTCCAGACAGGTCAGGTACCTGTAAGAGCCATTTGCTATTCATTACAGGTAGTCTGCTCAACAAAGCGTCCGCTCCGGCCTGCCTCTTTGAATGAGCCCGACCTAGATATCTTCCTCACACCGTGAGGTTCAGCAAGTGCAGGCGGCACTGGCAGAGCACGAGGAAGCCCAGCCTGGCAGGGAGCTACCTGGCCATCTGCTTGTATGCCTCTTCGGCCACGGCGAATATGTGCGGGTCCATGTCGCCCATGTTCTGCCCGCTGTAGGCATGGATGATGGCATCTCCATAGATCGGCAGCTGCTTGTAAGGATTCATGGCCACCAAAATGATTCCTGAGGAAAGATGCTGGATGCAGTTACAACATTCTTACTGTCACCACCTCTCCAGGTTCTTACGAGAAACCCCAACTCTGACACTTATTAAACCTTCTGCGTGACTTTGAGCAGGTCACTAATGCACTGAATCTCAGTTCCCTGTTGATCACCTCCATCTTTGGGCTATTCTGATGGCTGGATGAGATGACAGAAGGAAATGCCTCCAAACGGAGAGGCTTTTGCAATTCACAGTGTAAATAATACTATCATTGCCCAAAATAAGTAATAAATGCATCAAATCCAATGAGAAACTCAAAACACAAGTTTTATCACATCTCTTTTTCTTGGTAGTCTAGCTTTAGTTCTTGTTGAAGATCCTCCTCACCCAGACATCTCTCATTATAACAAACTCTAGATGCTCAGCAGTGTAACATGAAACACAAGCACGATGCTCTAGACAGCAAGCGCTAAGTTTCGGCGCCATTCCCTACTTCCCGAAATCGCTGTCCTTACCGCTGTAGGTGTAAATGAGTTTGGATTCTGCAAAGCGGATTCTGAGATTGTGGAGCACCGCGGGCTCGTGGAGGTAGCTGAGGGCTGTGAGGTCGTTCTCGCCCACGAGGATGTCGGGATTCCGCAGCGGAGGCAGAGATTCTGGATCGACAGAATAATCCAGCTCCTGCGGACAGAGATGAAATTACCGTTCTGGAAATAAAAGATTTTTGGTGTTTCTGCTGAAACTCTGTCCTATCCACCCTGCATTGGAGTCATGGCTGACACTGAAAAGCGAACTTATGTATAGCAACAAGCAAATAATCTTCATAGCTGGCTCCTGGAGTGATGAAAAGTGAGAGCCAGGGGACCAGAGCACTGGCTGTGTGGCCTGGGGCTAGTCACTCACCCTCTCTGGCCCTCATTTCTTATCTGTGAGAAGGAGCTAGACCAGACCAGGGGTCCTCACAGTTACAGAGGCCTCGCTGCGGGGCAGCAGGGAAAGCACACGGGCAGGACCCAGGTACCCCACCCCTGATTCTCCCCCAGGGGCCCCACTCGCATGTGGTTTCAATGTTGGGCCATGGACGTTTTCACTGGAAAACAAGATGCTGCTGCTAAAACGACATGATGACCTTACAGCTCCAAGGCTGCCAAGTCTCTGTTCGGAGCTGACGCGCTTGGCAGTGACGAGTGTCTAAAGGAGCCCACGTGGGCGGCGGTCTCTGTGCAAGGCCCCTGGTGCAGGTGACTCCGGCCTGCAGCCCCCTACGTGCCGGAGGGCTCACGGCTCCCCCTCCAGGCCTGCCTGTTCCTGTCATGCTCAGCCCTGGGCCAAATAACTTTCCCAGGCTGGCTCCTCTTCTGCCAGATTTAACCGAGTTTCCCAAAGTAGTTGCCTGAGCAGAGTGAAGGTGAGGGTCACACACCTTGTGGTGTTGGGTTTCCAAATATCAGGGTATTCTATCTCCTTCACTTTCATTTCACAATGGGGGGGAGATGAAGCCCAGAGAGGTAAAGTGACTTGAGCAAGGTCACCCAGCAAGTTGTTTCTCTTCTACCTTCCCAGGGGCCTGGGATTCAGTCAGTAGCATTGGCTGCCTGGTCCTGGGCCAGCTCCACAAGGTGGCCCAGCTGCCCCGTAGCAAGTGCCACTGTGCACACCCCACGCCAAGCACTCAGCACTGATTGTTTCATTTAATCTTCAAAACTGCCTTCCAAGGAGGACGTGACTCCCCAGTGAAGAGTTAATGAGAGAAGTTCGGAAAAACTGAGCTTGTTGTCACACGTGGGCTCACACTATCACGCCGCCTCCTGTCGGGCTGGTGGCGGGTCTGTTTTGCACGAGGTGTGCAGCTCAGGGCAATCCAAGATCCGCACGGCAGCTCCTGCTCTGCGGTACCGGTGCAATGATATTTGTGGACCTGCCCCCAGCCAGAATATTCTCAACCTACACACTTTGATTTTGAGAATAGAATCAAGGAAAATGCTTCTTGTACTTAATATTTACCTTCCCTGAGTTTTTCTGTTTTTAAATAATAAAAAGAATAACTCACTTCCAGTTTGGCCTGTGTGCATGTTACAGGTGAGAGGAACAGAGAGGGACAGAAACACAGAACTATCTTCGGGGAAGGGCAGAAAATGTGGTGAAGATCAGGTTGACAGGTGGAGGCAGAGGTGACATTTTCCTACACCAAGCAGGCTTTGTCCTCGCAGCACAGACAAAGGGTTAAGGTAAACAGCAGCCTGGCTGCCTGCCACCCACCTGCCTCTCCCCCCTTTCCCGTAGCAGCGGTTCAGGGCCAGGAATGCAGCCACCTGGGGACCTGCTGATACTCCTGCAGCAGAACACTGCCCCCCCAGCTGCTGCCTTGAGATTTCCCTCCCCAGACAAAGCCATCCGATCCCTAATCAGGGCCCTCACTGTGCACAGGAGGTGCTCGATAAAAGCAGTGAGGAGGCAGGGGTGGGCAAGGGAGGGCCGAAGGGGAGCGGCAGCGCTCCCTCCCGTGCTCTCCTGCGTGCACGTGCCACGCGGACTGTCTCCGCCTGCCTTCTGCAACCCTGCGATGGCGCCTGGTTATTAACTCCCTTTGACATACGAGGAAACCGAGGGGCCCCCTGTCACAGACTTAGCAAGTGGCTGTGCCGGGATCTGAATCCAGACAGTCTGACTGCAGAAGACACGCCCATAGCTGCTACGGTCGTCTCCCTTCCCAGATCTCAGGAAATGTCTCCGGAACAGGACAGTCTAACTGAAATATTGTGTCCTTTCTCTACAGAGACCATTTATGTGCTTTGTAAATTCCGGCATTTAATATCCATATGACATTCCCCGGAGCACCTCTGGGATCCAGGTAGAACACAAATCCTCCACCCAGCTCTGCATCCAGATACTGGATTCTGAAAACACAAGGTCCCCCTGGCTATGGATCCAGTGGGATGCCATCACAGCAAGGAAAGGACAGCGCATGGTGGATATTTAAGGCAAATGCAACATCATCAGAAGCTGCATGATCAGACGGCACATGTGGCCTTGGAGGGAAACTCCTCACCAGCACATCCCACCCTGGGAGCGACTGCTGAAGTTCATCCGCGGCCTCCCCCTCAGCACACCCACTCTCGTGGAGGCACCTCATAATGTCACACGGAGCTAGGTGTCCCCATCTTCCCACCCCTGCCACGCTCCCTCCTGGCGCTCCCCCTTCCATGTTCCCTACGTCCCCAGACTGACTCTTCCCCCCAGTCTCCTCCCACTCCTCCCTCTCCCTGCCTATTTTCTCTCTCTGTGCTCACTTTTCCTTCCTCTTCTTATCTTGATGTTTTTCTCTATCAGTTTATGCCTTGGGCTCAAACTACTTCTTTCCAAGTTTTTCAGGAGAATCATGGAGCCAACATGACTAATCCCACTCTGGGAACAGCGCTGAGCGCTGGCAGTGCAGCGCAGGGCACGGACCTGGCCAGCGGTGCTGCACTCTGGACCCTCGCTCCAGGGACAGGCCGGGTTGACGCAGGGTGGCATGGAGGCGGGAGGGACAAAGGCATCGATGGAGCCACAGCACCAGCTGGCCGTTTGGGGGCCCTCCCTGGGCTGCTCCTACAGGGACCATGCGCCCCGCCCCCCACGCCACCCAGGCCCCAGTTACTGCTTTATACATCACCGTGGCTACGAGCCACAAGGACCCTACCGTGCCATCCTCCAGCAGGAGTCGTAGGACTTTGTCACCAACTCTGTAGTCCTTTGCTATCTCAGCAGACTTCCAAACTTCCTCAGGATCAGGAACCCAAACCCTGTTGTACTGGCCAACAGAATAAGACAAGCTTCATTTCAGGGTTTTAAAAACAAAAACATAGATCATTACATGGGTAGACACAGAAAGGTTTCTTTCTGTCCGCTAGGGCAGCTCCTTCATTAGGAATCCTTTTACCTCATTTTTGCTTCTGAGGTCATCTTCGGCACATCTGCAATGCGCCAGCCCAGCTGCTTCTTTTCAGAGGCAACAGAATTCCCAAAGCCTCCTAGATATGGCTTGAAACCGAAAGCCCAGGGAGAGGAAAGAAATCCATGGATCTCCTAACGGAAAGACCTCAGTGCTGTCTTCTAGAGTTGGAGCAGAGGGATTTTGTTCACCACTGATTGACAATGGGGCTCTGGGCCAGACACCTCACTTCTAGTGCCTCGTTTCACATCCACAAAATGGGCACAACAATACCTATTTCACAGGTTTGCTGGGAAGTTAAATTAGACTACGTATTTGAAGGCACTTTGTAAAATGCTATGGAAGTACCATCACAGTAGTGTCACTGTAGCCTTATCGCACCAGTCAGCCAAGGATGCCCACCGTGGGAAATGCGGAAGCCCACATGGAGCTGCCCAGATAGATTCCCAACAGGCAATTGGTTCACCTGGCTCCGCGCCGATGTACAATCCGCAGGCAGAACCATGTTGCTGTGGGCTGCATTGTGCCCCCTAATATTCATATGTTGAAGCCCTAACCCTCAATGGACTGCATTTGGAGGTGGGGTCTTTAGGAGGTCATTGAGGTTAAATGAGGTCATATGGGTGACGCCCTGACCCGATGGAATTATAGGATTAGCGTCCTTATAAGAAGAGACACGTGAGAGTGCTCTCACGTGCCCCTACCCCTACAGGGAGCCCCAAATGCTGGGACATGGCCAGGCTGCCAGGAACAAGACTTGGGAAGCACTCGCTTGGAGATGTTAAGTAGCACCTAGGAAAGCTCCTCGACCTAAAAGCTCAATAGCCAGGACCTCAGATCTGGATGGGTCTTGAGAGGCCATCAAGTGTCAAACCCTCATTTCCTAGAGAGAACTGGCCTCAGGGCCTCCAAGTTCCCCAGGGACAGAGGTGGGACGGGCAGCCCTCCAGGCCTGCAAGTACAGTGTCCTGCAGGGTCATCTCCTTCCCGCCTCTGTACAGGCCAAAGGAATAGTGGTTTTTGGGCACTGACCCTCGCCATGACAGATGGACTTGCTCAAGGTACCTGTCGAGTGCGCAAACTC